CTCGAAATTGCATTCTGACCCCGATATCAAAAACTCCACTTCCGGTCTAAAGCTTCAAAAATTCGACTTTCACCATTTCAAGCCTAAATCAGCTACATACCTCAAATTCACCGCCCGGACACGCCTCTAAGTCCAAAATCACCCAACGGAGCTAACGGAACCACCAGAACTCCATTCCGAAGTCGTCTTCACACAGTTCCAGCTACAGTAAAAAATCCTAAGACTTAAGCTTCCGTTTTAGGGACTAAGTGTCCCAAATCACTCTGAATCATCCGGTAACTGAATTCAACCACACAAGCAAGTCAATACACATAATACGAATCTGCTCAGGGCCTTATACCGCCGATTGGGACTTAAATTCTCAAAACGACCGGCCGGGTCGTTACAAATAACCTCCCTTATCATTCTGTTTAATAGCCTTCTTTATCACTCTGCCCAGATAATATCCCAACACACATAACAACAGGGAAATGCCACCTTATGCCCACATAATGTCAACAATGGAATGCCACCCTTATATGCCGCTTTACAGTTACCCAAATCACACAATAATTCACATAGAATATTATCACAACAGCACAACATCATCAACTCGTATTTACAAATTTTCCGTAGGCCACAACCATTACAAAGGTACAATAAACTCAATTAATTTCACAACAGATCGTCCACGGCTCAACACAATGTATATAAAATCTCAAAAACAACCACAAGGATGGGAAAATAACTCATCATGGGACAACGCCTTCTTTAATCCAAATTTTAGATAAATATATAAATGCCTCAATTTAAACTTATTTAATTAATTATTTGCAAATGAAAAATCCATAATATTTTTATTTCCAAGAAATATCAAATCAACAAACACACGGAATTCACATAAAAATCCAAGTGGCAATCACACCAAATTATCATATAAAATACAAACTCGACAAACAAAGAATGGGGCATGACAAATCAAGAATTTACTAAGTTCCAACGATTTTCCAATTTAATACATAAGGGCGTCTACGAATTTCAACCGATATAATTTGCACATCTAAACTGAGTACGTACGCGTCACCTAGCGTACATGATTTTCAATTACATAATTTTCACATAAGACTCAATGCCTAAGGGGTAATTCCCCCACTCAAGGTTAGGCAAGATACTTACCTTTTTGAAGTTAGGCCGATATTTCAAAATAGCTTTCTCACGTAAATTGACCTCCGGACGGCTCCAATCTTTCTCGAGCCTTCCTTACATTACTATGAGGTTCCGGAAATCCTAGAAACTTCAATCTATTTAGAAACATAACAAAAGTGAACCATAATTAGGAAGATATTCATGGTTTCAGCTCATTTGAGCATTTTATCAAACACTAGATATGCAAATTTGGTTACAAGGTTCTTCTACAAGATTTCCTTCACTCCACAACCTAATCCTTACTTATTTGAGCTCAACAATCTTTTCACAAACCTTATTGGTACAAGCATATATGCATAATACTCTTACACCTAAGAATCATACTCCCAATCACCCATCTTTTACCCCAAACTCGAAATTAAAGACTATAGGTTTGAATCTTACCTCTTAGATGGAGATCTTGTGATGGGCTTCCTTGATTCTTGAAGACTGGTGCAAGATTGGATGATTAGAATGTTATGTTCCCTCCTTCTCTCTCTAAAATGCTCTTACCTCTCTTTAAAACCCTCAGAAAAATACTCCAAAGTCTATTTATCAAAATGGTGTCAGGTTATGAAAATAGAAAAATTAACCCTCCGAACTCAAATCTGCGGTTGCATAATGGACCGCACAATTGGTATGCGGGTCGTACAATGCACCGCAAAACTGATGCCCAGAAATGGGCTTCACTGGATAGGTCTGCGACCATTTTGCGGTCGCATAACCACTTCTGCGGCCTGCAGAATAATTCTGCGGTCACAGAATTGGCTGCAGAATTGCATTCTGTCAGCCTTTAGTAATTTGGTCATAACGTTTTGTAGGAGTTTCCAAATGACGAACGGTTTGAAGCGTTAGAAACTAGACTCAAAGAGCTTTAATTTGATAGGTCATCTAAATCACATAACTCTCTCTATATATATATATATATATATGCTCGTTCAAAGTTTGGTATTGTGCGTACCCATTTGAAACTTTAGTCTATCATGAAATTTCCAACTTGACTTAGACTTAGGCTCATCTTAGATCCCACACCACTTATAATATGCCTCGTATACTTATTATCATATCCAATTGATATCCATTATATTAATAGTCCTCGTCTGTACACAAAATAATATAATTAGCGCACATCAACTTTCTTAAAAGCGCTTAAATACTTCGAAATTTTTCGGGGTGTTACAACCTCACCCCCGGCCTCTACCACGGCCCCGGCCTCTCGCGGCCCTAACTGGTGGCACTGGTGGCTGACCATTCGATCCAATAATACGTGTCATCACCATCTGTGAGAGAATAGAATAACAGAAATTTAGTCTCTGAAATCAACAAATTCGCACGACAGAATACAAGAAAGTGATTTTTTTCCTAAGGGTTCGGCAGCCTCTCGAAGATAAGTACAGACGTCTCCGTACCGATCCGCAAAACTCTACTAAACCTGCTCAAGACTCGTGAGACCTATGTAACCTAGGATCTGATACCAACTTGTCACGACCCGAAATCTCACCCGTCGTGATGGCGTCTATCTCAAAACTAGGCAAGCCGACAACATCAATAATTTATAATTTCTTTTAAATATGAAAAACACAATAATTAAGTTTAAGAGAAAATCCCACAAATACTGGATATAAATACACTCCCAAAATTCGGTCTCACTGAGTACATGAGCATCTATATATCACTAGTCTGGAAAATAAGGTCTATAATAATCTGAGACCAAATACAGTAAACAAAAGATAAGGAAGGAGAAACAAGGTCTGCGAAACACGGCAGCTACCTTGGAATCTCCGAAAAATCAACTGTGCAAAGGAATCAACACTCACTGTGTCCGGGAACACCTGGATCTGCACACGAAGTGCAGGGTGTAGTATGAATACAACCAGTGCTACAGTGGGAATTCTTAGTTTTTTTCATTTTCGTTCCCCTTAATTTGTTTTTTTTGGAAAAATATTAAGGTGAAAAGAAAATGAAAAACATTTAAAGAAAAACAAAGAAAATAGAAACACATACCTGGGATAGCTTCATCTTACTTAGTCCAAGGAAAATGTGAATATAATATCATTACTAACTCTAAATAATTTTGTTCTCAATATTCCTCCAACAGATTCCGTATATCACCCGGAATCCAGGTTCTCACCGCAGCGTATAAAACTGTTTTTAGTACCAGATTTTCTTTTCCGTTTGTTTAATTTTGTCAATTCAATTCCCGGATTACCACAGGAAAATAGGGAATGAGTGGAAGAAAATACGGATTATTGGTTTGCTATACTAAATTATAAACTTATTTATTCCTAGTAGAGATGTTATCACACAAATTACATTTTTTATACAAATTCCCAATTTTATACAAATTATATTAAATGAGTATCCCTTAGTCATAGGCAATTAAATGAGTAATAATTGATACCCCCATTAGTTTTTCCTTCTCTCTCTGTATGTGTGTTCTTTTCTCTGCGCTATTTTTCTTCCTTTGATCTTCACAACTAATTTTCTCTTTTCTGATCTCCTTTCTCCATTCTTCTTCAAAGATTTCAACAATAAATTTCAATCGTTGGAGTTTTAAATTAGCAATTTTCTATAATGTTATACAATTATTGTTCGAATTAAAATTGCCAATCAATAAAATTTGAAGGCGTTTGACTCTCCACCATTAACAACCATTAAGAAGTTTTGAAATTTTAAATTCGAATTTGAGTTTTCTAAAAAGATTCTTTGTTGGATTGTGTGTTGTTGCAAACAGTTGTGAATATCCTTTGGAATTTATATCTCAATTTTGAGGGTGTTTGGTGAATATTAGAGTTAGTTTTGGCTAATTTTTCAGAGTGAAACTCGAAAGAAAAAAGAATACATAACATACAAAATACATACAAACGACATATAAAATACATTTGAAGATTGTATTATAATTGTATGAAAATTGTATATAAATTGTATGCTATTGCAATTGTATTATTTTTATCTGAATATTGTATGTAAGTTATAAAGAACTTGTAAATAAGGTATATACTGTATGTAGGGGTGTACATGAACCAGGTTGGTTCGGTTTTTATCAAAACCAAACCAAACCAACTATATCGGTTTGGATTGGTTCGGTTTTATCGATTTTTTCGATTTTTTTTACATGAATATTATTTCAATCTTACTTTGTTAAAGTTATAGATAAAGTTTTGATAAGTGAATATATGTTTAGTAAAAATTGAAAAAACTGATAAACATATGATCTATTCACTACAAGAAAACAACCTTATAGCGGCGACAAAAGCCGCTACAAAATCCCTCAAAGTCGCTGTTACATGTTATCAGTGGCGACATTTGTATTGCTACAAGCAAAATCGAAAATGAAAGGCATTTGTGGCGACATCAAAGGTCGCTGCTAAAAGCGCATATTTTGCGGCGACATAGTTGCCACAAAAGGTAAAAAAAACTCGCTACAAAAGTGGTTCCACAAGAATAAAAATTTAGCTGGGTCGCCACTGCTATTCATCTTTAGCAGCGACTAAGATCGCTGCTAAAATATTTTTATAGTGGCAAGTTAATGTCGCCACTATAAATGACTATTAGTAGCGACTCGTGTCGCTACAATATAATAAATTATGAAAGACATAATAACTTTTTGTAGAGACTAAAGTCGCTGCAAAAGAAATAAACCAACAGTGGCAAATTTAACATTGCAACAATTACTAATATTTTGTGACAAAATAATGTCGCCACTAAAACCTATCTTCTCAAAAACTATATAATGACCAAAATTATATATATTTTCGGTAGGAACCGAATTCTCTAAATTTAATGACTGTATATTCACATCAATTGACTACCAATATTAAAAGCAACCAATAATATTTAAAAAATACCAAAAGAATTTCTCAAACTGAATATTATAAATATTTTCATTACTAAAAAGTCAATTACATAATAATACACAACACTTCATTGTGCATTGTAATTGTACGCATATGCATATCCCAAAAAGACAAAATATTAAGTGCCTTATAATTGCTCCTTGGTCGACACCATCCTTGAACGATACCATTATTTAAGTGCCTTGTCCCTGCTAAAAAAATAATATATATATATATATATATATATATATATATATATAGGAAACTA